TGATGAATAAAACGCAGAAACTTGACGTGAAAAGAGATTGAGATATCAAGTATTGGCTTCCTGCATGCCTGTATTCCTGGCTTTATCACCGTTAGTCATACACAAATAATATTGAAGTTGCATATCCAATGCATATCCAAATGAATGCACGCTCATGTGCGTCAAATAATGTCAAATTCAATGTCAAAATAACTTTATTCATATAGGTTTACGAACACTTATGAACGTTAGAAAAGAAGTTAAATCAATTTTAAATTTTACATTTACTACCAGTTCGCAAGTGCGTACCCGGGCGTAGAGCGGGCAAAAATAACTGGCGGAAAACTTGCCGCCACTACTTACTGTACTTTCCGCAACAATATTAGTACGAGATCCGGCTGCAGGATTAGTGCGCTCATCGGTTATTTGCTGAATACCAATTTTTAATGTATATTTATAATTAGGAGAATGTATATCTAATAATCAAGTTGCCTATCAAAATTTGGCCGCTAGTATTTTTAATTAAATTATTTTGCATTGATTTTTGGGGAAATTATTTCGTTCACTTGTTATTTAAATAAAATGTCGTCTATATATCACGGCAATTTACTTGAAGATTTTAAAAAATCACGGGAACCGTTGCCCACCTGGCCGCCCTTCTTCGTAGCCAGGTGTAAACAGGTATGATTTTGAAACGTTTATAACGTTCATATATTAATAATTATATTAAAGTAAAGTAAAAAAAAACATTTAATCGTAAAGGTAACATAATGTACACTCGTATGATTCGTCAGTAAAGAAATATGTACAATTTATGCTTCTAATTTAACATTTACTGCCAGTTCTCAAATCAAGGGCGTAGAACGGAAGAGAAGAACTGGCAATAAACTCTCCGCCACTCTTTTTAATCGCCATTTTTTTTACACAACGTTTGTAAGGAGCTGCAATCATTACACCATGTTCCACATGATATGTTAAGTAATTAATAATAATAACATAAATTAAAAAAAAACAAAGGCTTGTCCTCTATCAGCAGGAGGCATGGTGAAATAGGAGCACGCACTTACATTCGTGGGAACAACACGCAAACACATAGTCGAAATAACTAGCATCACCGCATACACGAATTCAAGTACGACCAGTCACCACAAGTAGCACCCGTTCACGAGTATGACGCATGGCCAGCCATCGGCCCCCTCGCCATATTTTAGGGAGAGAGACATCCCGACGCAAATTGAAGCTATTTTTTCTATTAATTATCGTATATGGGTGCCTAGTTAAATCTGGCCGCAAATACGGGTTACCTGCTGTTGAAGATGATTAATATTTAAGGTCTACCTTCACTCTAGTGAAAGACAGTTACAGCATAACATCATTTGTCAGACGAGGATAGCGAATGACGCCTGTGTGACACTTTTAAGCCATTGCGCATGCGTCGATGTTTACTACGATGTTTTGGAGTTCGCAATAAACGATGTTTTGTATATTGTTGTTTTATTTGTGCATCTAAAAATGATTAAATAAATTAAACAAAAACAGCGTGGTTTCCCACTGAGTTATGAATTGTACTTCCACTTTGCCAATTATCATTTTGAAGTATTATTTGAAAAATTTAAAGTGTGTCTCATGAAACAAGAACATAAAAGTATTCCCAACTGTATTAATTACATATTTATTCTTTCTTCTGTTTTTATTGGAGAGTTTGATAGACAACCTCAAAAATGGAGAAGGGAACCCTTACCGCGTACATCGTTACATTCATTTTAGTTTTTTATATAGAATGGGGGGCAAACGGGCAGGAGACTCACCTGTCCTTAAGTGATACCGCCGCCCATGGACACTCTCAATGCCAGAGGGCTCGTGAGTGCGTTGCCGGCCTTTTAAGAATTGGTACGCTCTTTTCTTTAAGGACCCTAAGTCGAATTGGTTCGGAAATACTTCAGTGGGCAGCTGGTTCCACATAGTGGACGTGCACGGCAAAAACTGCCTTGAAAAACGCTCAGTTGTGGAACGGCGGACGTCAAGGTGATACGGGTGGAATTTCGTATTCTGTCTCGACGTCCGATGATGAAACTCAGCTGCAGGTATTAATCCGAACAACTCCTCTGAACACTCACCATGGTAAATGCGGTAGAAGATGCAAAGTGACCCCACATCTCTACGCAACGCCAAAGGATCAAGACGCTCGGAGAGGGATTGGTCGTTGACGATTCGAACCGCTCTGCGTTGTATACGGTCAAGTGGAAGGAGCTGGTACTGGGGAGCCCCCGCCCAGAGGTGAGAACAGTACTCCATGTGGGGCCGAATTTGCGCATTATATAGTTGCATGCGGTGGCCCGGAGTGAAGTACCGCCTCGCCTTGCTGAGCACACCAAGCTTTTTGGAGGCTAATTTAGCCTTTACCTCCAAGTGACCGCGAAACTGAACGTCGTTCGATATGTCAACGCCAAGTATTCCAATGCTGGCTGTGGCTTTAAGAAGAGTGTTTTCGAAAAGAGGAGTAGCGACAAAGGGTGTTTTTTTAGCGGAAAACGCGCAAACTTGTGTCTTCTTGGGGTTAAATTGGACTAGGTTTTGTCTGCCCCAGTCTGAGACTCCACGTAGTAGAGTTTCGACTTCAGACACAAGTTTGTTCCGGTACTCGTCAACAACTGCCCGAGAAATACCTGCCCGGCCAGTATAAAGAATATCCCCAGTGCTGTCATCCGCATAGCAATGAATGTTGCTAAGTTGCAACATATCATTGATATGCAGAAGAAATAGGGTCGGGGATAGAACACAGCCTTGTGGGACCCCAGCGTTCACGGGTTTAAGGTCGGAACATGCTCCGATGACGACCTTGATGCTCCGATCGGCCAGAGAGCTGGAGATCCAATCGCATAATTTCTCGGGAAACCCATAGGCTGGAAGCTTCGAGAGCAGTGCTCTGTGCCACACCCGATCGAAGGCTTTCGCTATGTCCAAACTTACCGCCAGCGCTTCTCCCTTGGACTCAATTGCCTCTGCCCACCTATGGGTAAGGTATACAAGGAGGTCACCAGCTGAGCGACCACGATGAAAGCCGTACTGAGAATCGCTAATCAACTGGTGGCCCTCTAGATACCTCAAGAGCTGGCTATTAATAATGGTTTCCATTATTTTGGAGAACAAGGAGGTTAGTCAACATTGAAGTTCCGGACAGCACCTCGCCTGTCGCAAAGTCAGTGTACGGCGCGTTCCCAAGGTTGCGACATCAGCAGTACGCATATTGAAAGAAATATATCAGCATTGAATATAAAAACGGGCGACGTTAAAGGAAGTTAAAGGTTATCAGTGCTACTCTGAATATTCATTTTAAAAAAGTCATGACTATACTTATTATTTTTATATAAGCTATTGTTTCATATTAATCGATTCCAGGTCTATGTAATATTTCTTTTTGTAAATTTTGAGAAATATAGTAGTACTAGCAGACTCGGCCAAGCGTTGCTGTGGCTGAGGTTTTATAATGTTCTAAATTACTTAGTGGTAAACTATTCAAAGGAAACGGTAGGAGAGCACCAGTCATGGGGACCACCATCATTTTTGGTTGCTATGCCATTAAATTGTAGCTTAAGTGAAACGATGGTACTTTCAACACAGCGCCATCTGTTAGAATTGTGACTATCAAACAATAAACAAATAATTTGCACTAAAATAATATTGCGGGTATAAATTAAGATGTAAGCTATCCTATCTTTTAAGTTAGATCAAACTGCACACGGTGTGCAAATTTGATTGAAGTCGGTTAAGTAGTTTAGGAGTCCATAGCGGACAAACAACGTGACGCGTGACTTAAATAATATATTAAGATAAGTTAGCTACTAACTACGCTGTTTCTAACGATATAAAGTTTTCGATTTATTTTACAAGTAAAGGGATTTGAGCATGAGTATCTCAACGTTGAGTAAACGCTCTCTCTCACTTGGCTGATTGATTTTTTGTATGTATGCACTTGCTCATACCGTAAACGAAAACAACCGGTATGTCTTAGACAAATAATAATAACCTATTTGACTACAAAAAATGAATTCCTTATTATGAAACCACAGGATAATAATAATTATTCATATACATCTTAAAACTGTGTTAAAAAAGGGTGCAGGGATCTGGTTAACGCTGCGCTTTCTTAAGTTCTCATGTAATTTTCATACCTTTTTCTTAGATATCCTTTTTCTAATATATTTTCATAATAAAATTACGTAAAATATGATTTATCTATTATTGACCAGTTTATTTCTCCCTTATCAACATTCTGTTAAAGCTAACATGTAGTGACACATAAGTCAAGAATTTTGTTGTGTCCTATTTTAGTAAAATCTCCACTCGTTAGTTCGATGTTAGACGGTTCGTATGCACATTGGTTCTCATCACACTCCATATTAATTAGAATTATTTAGTATAGGTAATGTATATGAAATATGTTTGTAAAATATTTAGAGTTGTACGTTGATCTTTCAACCTTTATTAAAACCCTAAATTAAGTAGGTTGAGAGATTAGATAGCTGAGATTGTACATTACAGTAATTATCTACTGTGGTAATCCACTTATTGTGATTGGGGCGATCACTTAAGTGCGCTGTAACTAATATGAAGGGTTAGACCTTACATTAGCAGAAGCGTTTTGAAGTAATTTTTAAGTCTATAGTTTGTGACTCAAATTCTTGTTCTCAGTTTCAATTTTCTTTTGGGTTAATTATTTGAAATAAATATAGCTTTTTTTTAAATAGCTATTATTATTAAAAAAAGTTCGAACCTTATTTACTTAACTTATCTTTATTAGTGATCATATCCACTAATTTTTTTGCACGTCACATTAAATATATATTTCTGTCCTAATTTGCTTATCAATTAGTTGTTTATCATTACACTTATATTCAGCTATAAGAAAACAATACAATTAAAAATTTTGTTTATTTAATTTAAATATGACATTGATAGGTTTTCAATCAAAAACAAAAGACGGTATCACAATAACAAAATTATTCCCATGAATTGCATAATTAGGTTGCATGTCCTTGTTTAGTAGCTGCCATTGCGTACCACACGGTATTGAAGAACACCCAAAACACCTTGTTTATGAAAGGCAAATAGAACAAACCCTTCACTTTGTCCACTCTACAGTTATCTGCAAGAACATAAAGAATTTTGAAAGAACATGATGAAACAAATGCTGTTTTAGTAAATGTGCATTATTTTTAACTAGCTGTGCTACTTCACACGCATTATTTTCGTCGCCATTATATAATTGAACCAGTAATTCCCGAGTGAAGCACGTTGAACCAAACTTTGAATTCACCTTCATAAAATAAATGTCTACCACAAAATACTAAAGCTTACTTCTCTCCAATATGGCCGAGATTTCACTAGGCTTCGTAAATTTAGAATAGGTCATAAGATGTATTGGTATGATCGTCAGCGCCCCCATAACCATAATGAAGAATTGTGCCAGGCGAGTTCTGTTTGGTGACGTGATAAACATCTTTCCACCCGGTTTCAGAGCCGCTACGCAGCTCTCTAGAAAGACGTCTACATTGGCCACATGTTCTACCACCTCCGACGCTACTACGGCGTCATAGTGGTTTGGGAACAGTTTTGAATGTTCCTGAAAAACAAATCTATGATGAATTGTATATTACATCTAAAGAACAGCTTTTATGTTTAGATTGATGTTTTTTTTTAATTCATTTGCGTTGAGATCATACTCGTACACAATATGTTCATAATTTACCTCTATAGTAGTGTTGAGGTATGTCGGTTTGTTGGCAGCAACTATTTCGTCGACCTTACTATGTTCCTTTGCTAGACCTATTAAAAGAGGGCTAGGGTCCACTCCCGTCACCTCGGCACCAAGTTTAGCGAACTCCTAAAATATATCGAACGTTATAATGCAAATCACATCATATTAAAATTGTTTTTTAATATATAATATGTTTGTGCTTGTGTAAAATTAATGAAAAATGCTTGGAAAAATTCAGCTTTTACCTGTATAATAATGATCCTTATAATATTGTTTACTTTGAGGAAAGATTGTAGAAGCATGATCTTCAAATACTTATATAATTTCTATATTCTGTTTACATAATACAACACACATAAAGTTTTTTTAAAATTAATTACTAAAAATTATTAAAAAACATTAGATGAATTCATGTTACTCATGTGACTGTTTTATAAACTACTTTTGTTCTGATGTACTTAAAAATATATTTAATAGAAATATATCGATCTGTAACCAAATTATATTTTAAATGTTACCTCCGTAACAAGGCCGCCACCGCACCCGACTTCTAAAACCTTTTTGCCCTTTAAAGATTTCGCCGTAAGTTTTTTACCACTTGAAGCTAATTCTTCTGCCATGAATGGTATTCTGAAAAAACATTTAGCAGTCTTCAATTTTTATCAACAATTAATCTGCCTTTGCAGTATATTAATATGTGGTGAGAATTGTGACTGTCAAATAATAAACAATTAATTTGCAATAAAATAATATTACGGGTATATAAATGAAGATGTAAGCTATCCTATCTTTTAAGTTAGTTCAAACTGCACACGGTATACAAATTTGATTGAAATCGGTTAAGTAGTTTAGGAGTCCATAGCGGACAAACAACGTGACACGTAATTTATATATATTGAGATTATTCATGCTTTATAATTATTTTATTATAACTGTTGTAATTAAATCGAATTAAATTAATTATAAAGTTGTCAACTACTTTGCATTGTATAGTATAATTGTTATGTACTGTATAGTTATTTTTTATTGAATAATTGTAGGCTGGTGAGCAGTGTTGGCCTAGTGGTTTCAGCGTGCGACTCTCATCCCTGAGGCCGTAGGTTCGATCCCTGGCTGTGCACCACTGGACTTTCTTTATATGTGCGCATTTAGCATTCGCTCGAACGGTGAAGGAAAACATCGTGAGGAAACCGACATGTCTTAGACCCAAAAAGTTAAACGGCGTGTGTCACTGGAGGCTGATCACCTACTTGCCTATAAGATTGAAAAATGATCATGATATAGATTTATAAATCTGAGGCTCATACCTAAAGAGGTTGTAGCGCCACTGATTTTTTTTTATTATAGGCTGGAATATGAACCAGGTAACAAGTATTTTCTTCAATGACATGAAAATGGGATATACCTGACGCGGTTAAACAGCTGCAACCCCCCAAGTGCACCATCTGGGCTCCACCAGGAATCCATCAGATCGCTGTGTCTCTGTACCTCTTCCTCATCCACGGAGGACGCCATTACTATTTGTTCACGCATATCTAAGGAACAATAAAAATGGAAGATAAAATAAATATCAGAATTTGAAAGCAAAAAAATTGCTTCATGAACAAAACAGCAAACTGTTTAGATTTATAAAAAAAATCATACTAATCTCCTATGTAGTCTAAAAATTGTTAAATATAATAGAAATTAAACATAATATAATGCAAGCATATTTTGCCATCGTAATCTATCTCGTGCTTCTTGCGTCCAACTTCGAACACCTATGTGGGGTCCATCAATGAAAATATGATTTCGTTAGTTTATCCATCTGAACACATCCACGTTATGTATATTTTTGTGAGGGACGCCCATCTATGACCATGCTTAGAGATGAAGCGAGTTTAAAAGATTAAGGCCCTTGAGAATACTCGTTACATGCAAACTATTTGCCTGTCGATTGTTGGGCGTGAGTTGTTTTCAAGAGTGTTATACCACAGGTCCTTAGTTAGTTCTTCGGATAGTTATATAATCATTGCGTTAATGAAGTTGTAATTAAATAATTTATCTTAGCAGCGCAGCACATATTATAAGCGATCACATACAGCTTCCAAGTCAATTACTTTAGTTAGCGCGGTCTTACGCACCACAAAACCTGTACCCAGCTTATGGTGTCTCTCATGATCCTCTTTTAGCTTTCAGTGCCGTCTTAATTCCCCAGGTCTGTTTAAAGTCAACAAAGACCTATTGTTACTTAGTTAAAAGGTTATGAAACATACCAAGTTATTAAATTGAATGAATAATATAATAAAATAATAAATAATAATAATAATTGTTATTAATATTAATTAATAATTGAATATTATATTAAATATTATTAAATTGTTTACGTTAAATATTAATTAATTATATTTAAAAAAAATAAAGAAAGCCAAAGAAGTATAACTTCTTACGCGCGTACATAAGTACACGCACCCTTTTTTTTCTACTAAAAAGGAAAACGCGACAAAGCTCTCAACTGAGCCACTGATACATCGGTGCGGTGGACACACGATTGCCGTCACGTCATCTGAAACTCGGCCCGAAATAATCTCGTTCTCGGTGACGTCCCGGTGACGGCGGTGGACATACAGCCTAGCCCCTTTGCCTAGCCCTTTACATTCGGGAGATTAAACATATATGTATATTGTATATACAAATCTACTTATTTATCATTATTATCAATAAATAATTTATTCCCTATAGTTATCTTGTTTGTAAGCCACATACAACAACATTCAACATACTTCGATCAAAATAAGGATTTACAACTCGGTTTTATTTAACAAATAAAAAAGCCATTCAATACAATTCAATAATATAACATGTATACCTGAGAAATTTGAGAACTACTTTCGTTACAGTTTAACCACACTCACTTAATTTTGAAAACTAATCATTTTTTACGTGTCACTTCGTTTATATACGTACTAGGGCAAAGTTTTGTATTCGTTCATAAATTAAAATGAATACAGCATGTTTTAAAATTATTTTAATTCGCTATTTTCGCATATAGGAAATTACGCAAATAAATTCTCTGCTAATAATTTATTTACCGGCGTCGGGACGTGACGACCTCATCGCCCACTGGTGAAATAACCTGTGACAGAGGTTATTTCATCAGCGCAATTAGTCAATCCCTTCCTAGTGGGAGTGCCATGCTGTTGCCTTCGGGCTTCAGCCAAATGGGCAGGCACGACCGGGGCAGTACCACCGTCTCTCAGAAAACCGGCGTAAAGTGATGCAATAGGTTCGCCTTATTGTACTCGCGTTTCTTGCGGTGAGAGAGACTCCCGGAGCCCATCTCCCCCCCACTACAAGAGATATGAAGGTGCAGAAAAAACGGAATCTACCCCAGGGGAGTACCACACGCGCTTGCGGTGGAGAATCCCCCTCTGGGCCTCCAATACCGGGACACTCGGCACCCGGTGGTGCACGCACAGGCTGCCCTTCGTATTCTGGGGGGCAATTCTGCGCTCGACAAAAACAGTTATCGTTCTCGGGGCAAACGGAGCAATTCAATAAAGGCACCCGCCACGCCTGTCCACACTCGCCGTGGACTTCACAAATGTTAGGGGGCTCAATTCCAACATCAACGCTGTCCACTATTATTTAGAGACTGCGAAGCCGGCCTTGCTCTTTCTTACCGAGACTCAGATATCCTCCCCGGCTGATACTTCCTACCTCTCTACGTCAGAGAGGATATCTTCTCGGCTCGGGACGCTTGAAGGAAGGGACCTATCTAACCTCTGGCTGCGCTAGACTGCGATGACCATCCGCGATTCTGCGCATGCCTGTATAGGTCCCATAGCGGAAATACATACATACATAGGAGTCGGCGTCTTTTGTGACCTGTCAAAGGCCTTTGACTGTGTTCATCCTGATATACTCGTTGGAAAGCTTCAACACTATGGCGTTGATGGCAAAGCTTCCAGCCTGATGAATTCATATTTAAAGGGAAGGATCCAAAGAGTTCATGTCAATGGAGTCACCTCTCCGGGTTCGCAGGTATCAATGGGCGTCCCCCAAGGATCGATTCTCGGGCCTTTCTTATTTCTGATTTACATAAATGACCTCCCATTCTTTGTCAACGAAGTTCATGAGATGGTATTGTTTGCTGATGACACTTCACTTCTATTTAAAGTGAATAGGAATAACGTATTATTGGACGATGTAAACAATTCTATCTCTCGTATAGTTAACTGGTTTAATGTAAATAACTTACTGCTTAATGAGAATAAAACAAAATGTATTAGATTTACAACTACTAGCGTAAAGCGAGATATTGGTAACCTGAAAATGAAGGACAGTGAACTAAACTTTGTTGACAAAACTGTTTTCTAGGATAACAATAGATATTAAACTCCAATGGGGCCCACACATAGAGACTCTTTCGAATAGGCTGAGCTCTGCACATATGCAGTAAAGAAAATCGACAGTTTACTGATAAGGACACGGCTAAAATTGTGTATCATAGCTACTTTCACAGCGTTATGTCGTACGGTATTTTACTGTGGGGTGCTGCTGCAGAGGTTCAATCCATATTTGTGCTGCAGAAGCGGGCTGTTCGGGGTATTTGTTGTATTTCTCCGAGGGAGTCGGTACGGAATAAGTTTAAGGAATTAAATATTATGAACTTTCTGGTCAATATATTCTTGAAGCCTTGTTGTATGTCCAAAAAAATATAAACGATTTTAAAACAAATGGTGACTTTCACCAGTATAATACGCGAAATAGAACTAATTTGAGTGTACGACCAACCAGGCTCCAAAAGATAAACCACTCCTTATATGGAAATTGTATTCGTTTTTACAACAAACTCCCAAGCGAAATTAGAGAATTATCACTAAATAAATTCAAAGCCCTCGTTAAATGGCAATTAATCAATAAAGCGTTTTATAAATTTGAGGAATACTTAAATGATCCTAATCCTTGGGATTGATTTGCTCCAGTTCAAACAATTTGTGTGACAATACTTGGCGATTAAAAAGAGTGGCGGAAAGTTTCTTGCCAGTTCTTCTTACCCGCTCTACGCCCTTGACTTGCGAACTGGTAGTAAATGTAAATTTACAATTAATTTAACTTGACAATTCAAAAGTGTACTTGGTTACCCACTTGAATAAAGATATTTTGAGTTTACCGAAACTGACCGACTCATTGAGCACATCCAAATGACTACAGATTCCCTGCTCGAAAGGGTTCCTACCGCTGAAATCGTAATACTTGGCGATTTTAACGCCCACCATGCCGATTGCATCATACGAGAAGATCCTTTCACGACTTTGCTTTAGCCTACGGCTTGATGCAAATGGTCCCTGCGATTACGCCAATACCAGATGTGGATGGTCATAAACCCTCTTTGTTGGACCTTCTGCTGACTTCACATCCAGAGAACTACCAAGTCTCTGTTGATCCGCCATTGGGTTCATAAGATCATTGTGTGGTCTAGAGCATTATGCCGTTGACGCGCCCTCTAAGATGGGATGCAGTCTTTTTTTGCGTCCTACTTTTCGTCGAGTACTCCAAATGCCGTCGCTGACCCTGTCGCCGAGGTAGTCCTGCAAGGTATGGAACTTTTTATTTCATTCCCTGCGGTGGCAAGTCCCAGCCTTGGTTTAGGCGTTCTTGCAAAGCGGCTTTGCTCCATAAGCGTGAATACTTTAAAGCCTGGGCAGAAGCGGTGACATCCTGTGATGTGACTATCGGCGAACGTAAAAAAGCATACAATTCAGCCTCCAGGTCCTTCAAGCGAGAAATCGCTAAAGCAAAGTCAGAGCACATTGCCAGATTTGGTGAGAAATTGGCCCACCTCCCTTCGGGAACTCGAGCCTTCTGGTCTCTTGCCAAAGCTATCCAAGGGAATTTCTGTCAGCCCTCATTTCCACCACTGCATAGGGAGGATGACTCACTGGCCCATACTGCGAAAGAGAAGGCCGATCTTCTAGGCTGTCTCTTTGCGTCGAACTCCACTTTGGATGATCAAGGAAAGGAACCACCGACATTATTGCGGTGTGATACTACGATGCCTGAAGTAATATTCCGGCAACGTGCTATCCGTAAAGCTTTGTCTTCCTTGGACATTCATAAGTCGAGCGGGCCTGATGGCATCCCCCAATTGTGGTGCGTACTTGTGCTCCTGAGTTGGCTCCGGTCCTAACGCGCCTTTTAACGGCCAGCTCTTGAGATATCTAGAGGGCCACCAGCTGATTAGCGATTCTCAGTACGGCTTTCGTCGTGGTCGCTCAGCTGGCGACCTCCTTGTATACCTTACACATAGATGGGCAGAGGTAATTCAGTCCAAGGGGGAGGCGCCGGCGGTAAGTTTGGACATAGCGAAAGCCTTCGATCGGGTGTGGCACAGAGCACTGCTCTCGAAGCTTTCAGCCTATGGGCTCCCCGAGAAATTATGCAACTGGATTTCCAGCTTTCTCGCTGATCGGAGCATCAAGGTCGTCATCGACGGAGCATGCTCCGACCTGAAACCCGTGAATGCTGGTGTCCCACAAGGCTGTGTCCTA